TATTATTATTATTATTATTATTATTATTATTATTATTATTATTATTAAATGTCTTTCTTTTATACTTTGATACCTCGTGGACTTTTTGACCAACCCAATAAAATCATAAATGCACGTAAGGTGGTTGTGATGAATTTATCAGTGGACTCGCGCTTCGCTTATATTCGTATTCAAGGATGGCTTGGTGTAGGTAATATTATAGCAAAGAATATAGTAGTAACCTTCAATGTGTCCATACATAAGATATTTCTGACCGCTATAAAGGCTCCACATGATTTAGAACAAAGAGAAATCTGGCGGACTGACTGATGTAACTTCTGTGAGGCATCATCAATGTGCGTGATATCATACGCCAGGTCTATAGGTAATTCTGTAATGACCAATATTAAAATGTTTTCAATGATAACTGTACCATCTATTACCTCTTAATGTTCGCTAAGAATTTCGATATAGTGTATATTCTAAATATCATAAAAGGTAATGTTATTTGCTCCGACCAATTGTGTTATATTTCGTTTAATATAGGTACCTATGCGTTCCGCACTACCATCATGTTAAGGTGCTTACAGATTTGTTCTATGTTATCGATCGTTACCGTCTTTTTATACGATCCTAAGTGACGGGAGAAACAAGTTCGTGCGCCTGACGGTAAGTGATACGCCTGTCCAAAACAGTTGCAGTGCCACTCAGAGCTTTAAATCGCAAAGATCTGAGGGGCACTGCCACTGCGCCCGTCACCCTGAGACATAAGTTGACTAGTCCCATATGCCTGTAATTTCACCAGTACTTCAGTAATGTTCACATTATTGCTTGGCGGCAGACGGTATGACCTGGACGAACTTTTTCACAAGGATTTTTACTGCTGTTAATTCCATTCGATTTTGTATGCCAATAAAAATACGTAGACTATATACTGTATAATAAATAAAATCCGCGATATTAGCTCCTAAGCCAATAATAATTGTCTACGGAAGACTTCTGGTGAATCTGAGGTCAAGTTTGCAGAATTACTATCTAAAATCAAGAAAAATATACGTATATACGTATAAACTTCATGTGTAGGATATTAGACTAGCTACAAACCGGTAGCAGTTCCGGTCTTTCGTAAATGGTTTGGGAATTAGTGGCAGCATAGAGCATAGAGTCATGAGGTGCTGTTACGAATGTTGTGATGAAAGGGCGGCTGGAGCGTTTGTAGAATTCTTCAGCTATGTTTTCCTTTCCGAGAAGCCGTCTCTTGACTGGGCTATAGCTGGGGGTGGTAGGCACAGTCACACAGTAGTACAGACAGTAGGCATATAAGGATCTCCATTAAAAATTTAAGCCTAGTACGTTGCCAGGACCTGACGTCTTTCCAGCGTTTATAATTAGAGGTTGCGCTGATATTCTTGTAGGTCGTACTTCAATCTTGCAAAGTGTGAGATGATCTGTCTTATGCGGTTGCCAAAGCTTGCGTGAGTTTATATTTTAGTTAGGAAATAATGCCGGAATATTATAGGAAATAACGTGATTTTGCTGTTGTATTTGATAGTCATCTGATATTCTCTGCGCTATAGAGTCAATTGCGTTTGTAGCATATTGACGACTCAAATGTGTCTGCAATTTCACCAGCACCCTTAGCGTTCAAAACCTCCGAAATGCCTCTCACCTCTCAAAACGAGAGATCTGCGCGCTCAACGTATCACTAATACGAAGTATATAGAGGACAAGGTCAATGGTCTGAATTTTTTGTAGGAAAAAATATAACCTAATATTAGAGCAGGTGCAGAAACAGTTTCTCAGTCATTTATAAAAAAGGGGTATAGTTATTAAGCCTGTTAGCTCAATTCTATAACATGTACTGTGTTATTCTTTATTTTTGGTGTTTCTGAGTGTAGCGACTTGGATTTTAATCTGATAGGTTACGAAAGTTAAATGATAAGTATTAAATAATTAGTGGGTAATTAAATTCCAATATATGTCAATGTTAATTGCAAAAAGTTTGAAGATGTTACTTACTGTCTTGTGTTTTTTTGATGTTTGAAATGTTATTAATTAAAAATTTATAATTCTGGTTATCGAAGATTTTTATGGAATATGGCGGTGGTACCCGAGCATATATTGTACATGCGAGGTAATAATAATACAGACTCTGAAAAAAAAAATGAATATTAGACGTTGTCCTCCAAGAAATAGAGGGTTTTTCAACAAGAACTTTGTTTTGCTAATCAAAATAAAACAATAAATTTTGATGACAATGATTAATTTTTATATGTTTTTATTGTATTAAGTTAAAAAGTAAGGTTTGGCAATTATGAACGAAAAATGATGTCTAATAAATGTCCACCACGACTACAGTTACGGATAGCGATTCTTTCATCAATGTTTTTAATCACTTTTTGACAAAATGGTGGGTCCAAGTCGTTAATCGCTTCACGAATTTTCTGCAATCGATTCGATTGGCTCCGTATAGACTCTGTCTTTAACATAATCCCATAAAAAATAATCCAGCGGTGTTAAATCACATGATCGAGCTGGCCACTTAACGTCTGAATTTCGTGAAATTATGCGATCTGGAAATTTGGTTTGCAATAAATTCATTGCTTCGGTGCTCAAGGTTTAGGTTCAGGGTTCAAGAATAAATTATTACGGTTTGTCCAATTTCGGATTTGGTCCAAATTTTATTGAGTTTATTAATAGCCCGTAGTGGTATTTAATGTTTAATAAGAAGTATGTTATAAATAAGTACCGGCACGCTATGATGGCAGTTTTGACGTTTGTCTGCTTATCAAGTTTCGTATTAAATCAAACTAAGTTGAACTAATAATAATAATAACTAATTGATGTGTATATTGTCGTCAATAGTGACATGCAGTAAAATTTATGGAATGTATTTTGTTGATGACATCTAACACGATCGTCACATAAGGGATCGTTGGCCAGCACAACTTCTACCTCCGGCAAACTCGCGTCAATGCTCATTGCAAAACAAAGCAGTTTCGAATTGATGATATATCTTTTTATTATTGTCATTATTTTTTTAGCCCCGCACCAGTGAGACCTTGTGTCACGGGTGTCATGGACACACACATAGACAATCGCAAATAACAACCAATGGCCATACAAATTTTTCTACCGGCCCGGGAATCGAACCTGGGACCTGTGCATGGTAGTCCGGCATGGTAACCATTCGGCCAAGGAAGCATTAAATATTAAGGAAACATTTTTATTTTCGTTATATTAAATCGTTTTAGTCATCTACTCCTTGCAACACTAGTTATAAATCTAAAAACTTATAGATGTGACTCGCATTTGATTATATTTTTTTCGATAATGAATTGAGATTTGACTTCAATTACTCGCCGGTACTGTAGTACATGTTTGTCACAACAGCCTTATGTTTAGTTTTGTCGGTAGGTAATTGTTTTTTGTAAATTCCAAAGGTCGCCTCTCTAGTTGCGAGGTTTTACCAATCACCTCCCACGAGTTCGCATCCGCGCTCCATGGGATGGAGCATAGATCACCGCATACCGAAAAAGAGGCGGGGGAGGTGCGTCGTTGTGGGTCACAGAATTATAAATAGATAGAACGGCGATGTGGGCGGGCCACGCGTGCCACAATCTTGCAAAGAACAACAAGACTCCCCGAAGGTTTCCTCAAAAGGCGTCGATTCTCGCTACAGTGCAAGCAAATTTCAAGAAAAATGATATAATATTATGCTATTTCTAATTGCCTAAACAATGTGGGTGTCCGTTGGTTGGTTCGCGCAAGATTGCTGTGTGATAGAATGTCTGTCTAAAGGCCGTTGATAGCTCGGAATTTTCTTGAACTAACAGTGAATGCGGTTACTTCAAGCCGACGCTGCTGCCTGTGCGCAGACTTACGTAACTACTTGAATTCGAACTTGCTTCCTTTTCGTAGCTGCTTTACACTGCGCTCTTATATGCCTATACTCAATGCGTCGGATGCACTCCACCCCTTTGTCACAGGAACTTGCTAAACGGCCTCGCCACACTTGAAACAATATTGCACTTCAAAATCGACTCCAGGCTTACAATAGGTTTCATGCTGTATATTGCGTTGCTTAGGTACTCACAACAGGTTCATCTTGTTTAACTCACCATCTTTGAATGCCGTTGATTATATATTGTGTAGCGACTTTTTTATTTTAATAATTAGAGAACTTACCTCACTTCCCAAACTTTTTCATGACAAACATGTACTCTTTTTACGCGTAGTCATTACCTCGCGTAGTTTTGAAAATATCGTATGTTTAAAAAGTTTTTTCAGATCTCAGCCACAGTGCTGCAGTTTCCGTCAATGATCTTCGCAATTACTAACTTCTGCTGCTCCAACTGGCTGAAAATTTCAGCGTCGTCTTTTATGTGCTGTGCTGCGCTCACTTTGTAGAAGAGTATGAGCTTATCGCTTCTGACATCTTGGATAAATTTTTTCTTCGTCGTTATTTATTGTGTCATTTTTATCTTCTTTGATATGTCGTCGTAATCTTCGTTCCTAACAAAAAATTGCACATCCAAAGAAAGCATGCCTGTTACCGTTGAAATTACAAAATGTCGTCGTCCGTACTTCGCGCAAATTCGTCTTTTTTAAATAAATATTTCGACGTTTCCCTTTTCTTTGGGTTTCGTATCCCAGACGAGAAGTTGTGGTATGGGGAGATTTCTTGACAATAAAATTCTGCTCGTAATTTCTCACTTATTTATTTTAGGTTATCAAAAATCTCTCGCCGTCCCATAGCTCTTCACCTGCCACCGTTCTCTGACTTCATTATCTCACTCACTAATTCCTCTCCTTTACTTTCGTCATTTACTCTTATCCTAACGTTACATTTCTAAATAGAGTTTTATGGCTACGTTCAATATAAAAAAGAAATATGAAACATCCTACATATATCTACCGTCTTTCATTTAAACTATGTATTTATTTATTTAAAATAGGTATCGTATTACGTTTTATTTTCTTATTGCCTGTATAACAAATATCGATACCGATAGATTTGAACAACATATAATATACGTCACTTCACTATGCAATCTCAAGATCACATGTTAGGTGGAGTTTGTTAAAAAGATGAGACGCTTTAGTACATAATCGCCCTTTAAAAAAGTATAGCATCACCGTTCTATCTAGATTTATTTCTGTGTGGTGGGTTGTCATTCTTTTATGGGTCAATTATTAATATGAAATGGGCAGGGCTGGTGCGTGGCTTTCGGTGGTTGTCGATTGTATGAGAAAATCTGTAAAATGACTGATCGTGGAAGGTCGCCTCTACGTTCAATAATTAAGTTTTTCATTGATGTCCCTTGCGAAATTAAAATATGGTTTGTTTAAGTAATACGTATTAATATCACATAATCTCAGTACAGAGTACTAAAAAACCGACCTCAAAAATCAAAAGTCATTCATCCCCTAGTTCGCCACCCTTAGAGGTGGAATATTTTCTTTAAATTTAAATGGAACCACTACAGATGTACCTTTCTTGCAACAACAAAAGAATCATCAAAACCGGTTCAGAAATGAGTTATCGCGTAACATACATACAAAAAAAACATACCCACATAGAATTGAGAACCTCTTCCTTCTTCGAAGTCGGTTAAAAATGTTTTGCTACAATAATGATTCACATTAGTTAATTACAAAATTTTGATTACAAGATTTTTCATAAAAAAAATGACTGTAGATGATTTAAAAAGCACACGATCTGAAAATACCCAATTGAGCAGGCCCTAACTGGAGATGGGAATTGATCGCTCCTGCATGGATATTTATTGTAAAAAAGTGTCATAATTTACACTTACGTTATTTAGCATATCATGAATAACAGGCTTGTATTCGATAACGAGATGGGTTGCATTGTGGCAAAAGTCAGCTAAAGCTATACAGCCACCAATCATGCACAATGACATCGACATTAATAAAATCATAAAAAGAAATAACAGTTTCTGAAACGGAGAAAAATAGTGATCAGGGATAAGTCTTCATATATTCAACTGTCGTAGTCTAGTCCATATTCCCCCCACCCGGTGATTAAACGAGATTTGTAATTGAGCTCTCTTAATTAGGTCCCTTATCCACCATAAGTGAAATGTATGAATATGTGTATGTTAACTAATTAGTGTTAGAACTTGAATTTTCGGTTACCTATCATAAGACAGATTACATTCAGACAGACATTAGCCTTTAAATAACTCTATGGTTTGCTAGAGTAGTTACCGATAGCAATTAATATTAGTTATTTTATCTATTATACCTTCGATATCCGATAAATCGGCATAAAATCATCACCGGCACCTTTAGGTGTGCATCGCTCATCGCTATTAGCAGCGGGCGGCTACGGTTGTGCGTATCGCGTGAGCGGACCTAGAAACATGATTTACACAATTTCGTTTCTCCGAAAAACTTTTGGTTTTTATTGAACACGTTACGATTTTTTTCATTACATCATTTTAATGTCTCAATATCTTGACACAATTTATAAATTTCAATTTCATCAATTTCATTCCCCCAAAATACAGTTTGGTTATTGTACAGAATTAAATATTTTGTCTTTGTTCAATAAGAGATATCCATGATGCATTTTTGTTTTATGTTTGGGTTTACATCGAATTTAATTTAGTCTGATTGACACTAATAAACGTTCTATGAAGTTTAGTAAATTACAAATGAATTTAAAGTTATTATTAAGAAAATTCGATAATTATTTGAAACATGTTTGGAAACGCAAACAAATTAACTTTTGGCACTCGGCTCCACACTCGCTTCGCTCGCTCGGCTTATGCGGCTTTTTCGGGTTTGTAGCATCTGAACTCGGTGTTGGTTTAAAGTTGCAACGGAACCCGAATAAGCCCAAATGCGAGTACGTATGATCCCGGGACTGGTTGCTTGTCAAAAATAATTAAATTAGAGTCGCATCCAATCCCGGGTTTAGTTGCACCTAGAGATATGGCATTAAATTTGTATCGTCTGAAGCCGAATTCATTTTCGATATATGTTGGTACAGTTTGCTATAAGGCAGTGAGCATAAATACTAGATACGCAATGTACTATAAACAACAATAAAAAATCTGGCACCATTTTGCAAATTTAAGGACTAGCTTTGAAACTGATTAAAATTTCATAGAAAAACAACCCGGGACTGGATGCGACACTCAAATTTAATTATTTTTGACAAGCAACTAGTCCCGGGATCACACGATATTCGCATTTGGGCTCGTTCGGGTTCCGTTGCAACTTTAAACCGACCCCGGGTTCAGATGCACAACCCGCTCTTTCGTTTAGTAACCTAAACTAACCTAACCTAATCCTGCTAAGTTGTGAGCATCCAGTTTTAGCCCGGCCTTGGGATTGTACTTTTGGATTCATTTGCTATGTCTATATAATTTTATCGAAGAATAATAAGTTTGTCGAGACGAGTATTCAGCAATCTAAAGTATACGGAAAATATTTGGTAGGATAAACATGAAATGACCAAATAAATTTCTACCAAAGAATACAATGTAATAATAATTATTTTTTAACAGATTATCGGACAAACGATACTTGTGCTGTAAGATATCTCTGTGTTACAAATTTATATCATAACAGTGAATGCACTAATGAAAAAATTGGAACCGTGTTGGTGATAGGTTACCGAAAACACAAAACGAAAGGTGTACATTTTTGTGTGTGCTAATCAGCGATAGGATTTGAATCAGAATTAGGTCTTAGGTAAATATATAAAGGGGAACGAGGCTAAACCCAATAAATGTGTAAATTTCCGTAAAATGATTTCTTGTATTCACTACAGTGTTTCTTCCATATTCTTTTCCCGTGGTGGGATTCAATAAGCAGACTTGTTATAAACCTAGTACATTAAATTGATTCAAAAGTGCATGAAAGTACACTTTAATGAGTTAGATAAATCATTTCACGTAAATACACTCCTTTACTGGGTTTTCCCTTTTAATCCTCGAATATGTTGAGTTAGTTGATGAGCGATAGGAATTGAAATTTCATAACTAGGTCCCATGATCCATCAAAACAAAGACGAAAAGAGATGCTGCACCCTTGGCGCGTTTAAACATTGCGTTGGATTCGTATTCGTTCGGAATCTTAGACTATATGAATCTACAAAACTCGGACTCACTTCGGATATTGCTTGTGCATTAAGTCGAATATCGCTTGTATACATACAGATAAAATCCCAGTGATATTTCGGACCGTCATTTCTCGAATTCGGAACTGATATGAATCACACAAAAAATGCAGTCGAATTGAATAACATAATAATAACCGACAAGACTTTTGTAAAATAAACACGAGATACATTTTGGAGATTTTTACTAGTGTTCCTCTAAATCTGCTAGTGTGAGTACATTTATTAAAAAGTACATACATGTAGGCATGCCACCATTTTCATGCGGCAAAATGAGTACTTCTTTAGACATAACAGCAGTAAACTTGGACCCAGTGTGACCATACACCAGAAAATGAATTCACAGCCGAATAGAATACGCTCATAAAACAACGTGTCCTGTAATTATTATATGGATATTCATGCATTTTGTAAATAGAGGTAAATAAAAAAGTTCTTTAAAAATAGGTAAGGCTGCGATTCCACTAGAGATGCGCGAGGTACCTAAGTGGTGCGAGGTTGTGTAGCGGCGCTGTGAAAGCATGTGTAACTGAGTCACGGAAGAAAAAAAAAACAGTGATAAACACTACGAAATCTTGACAATGATTGCGCATAGCGTCTAATTTAAAAAGATGTAACAAATTCTGGATTGTTAATACAATTTAAACTTTACCCAGTCGCTATATCGCTGAAAGTTCAATATCTTTTATCAACGTATTCATTTTATATTGAAATTTTATTTAACGTGCTGCCATCTCGCGACCAGCAGCTGGACTACGACGAACGATTACCATCTGAATCAATTCGATAAACAGAAAATTGAAAATTTATTAAAATTAGACTTACCGGTGATATGAAATAGTACTACGGGTAATATTTGTGGTG